TGTACTGTTTTAATATGAAATTCAATCTCTTAAAAATCTAATAAACGACTCGTACCGAAAAAAATTTCTCTATATTGAATGAATGAAATGAAATTCTAATGATTAAATTTAATTTTTATGCTCCATAAGAAAATCGACAAAAATATTAGAGATCCACCACTTTCATTTTGAAATGTTGTAAATAAATTTAAAAAAAATTCTTTCCATTTTCAACGAATGTGCAAAAGTCGTTAATAATCCACACAAGTGGTTGATGCGACTTTAAATAATGAAAATAAACAAAAAAAAGATACTGCCATTTTATCACGAATATTTTTCTCGAAAAAATACAGCAGATATATTTTCATTGAAAAGCCGTATCCTGTATAAAATTTGAAGCATTTCAAGACGTATCGATATTTTTCGACATTGTACCTTAATATTTTCACAATAATAAGCACATTATTCACTACATTATTCGCAACAGTACGTAGAAAAAATTCTATCGTAGGAAAGAAAATTAACGAGATCTATTAAAGAAACAATGTTTTTATGTGCTTTTCAAATAATATTTTATTACTAAATTTGCATTTATTTATTATGATTATTGTATTTACGTATACATGTATGTTTGCTCGACTCTTGATTCAGTGTCATTGAATGGTTCAATTCAATAAATAATTTTCGATGAGGAAGCGGCAATACTGTCCATCTTTTGATTTTAATTTCTATCACCATATAGTGCTATAGTGCAATATTTGCCCAAGTCGATATGACAGGATGTGACACGAAAATGATAAGGAGGTCAGGTGACATCCCAAAACCTGGGACATGAAAAAACATTGGATGTTCAGTCTATGCTAGTTAGTCGAACACATCCACATTTAATTGGTATTGAAAAACGTCTGAGCATAGATTTCAAAGTGTCATTCTGAAAAACTTGGTCTTCATTTATTATTCGCAGCAGTGACATGCTGCTAGTCTTGTTACCTATCTATAGAATTAATTTATAATAGGTGAAAAATTGAATTCATTTGCAGTTCTGCAGAAATGTTACACAATAAATTCATTCCAAGAAAATTATTGCCTTGGAGAAGTTTGTTTTTTCATATTTTTCTCTCATATTTCCTTTACCTCATTTTTCTTTTCATTTTAATTATTGAAATACACACGGTGTTCGTTCAATCGCTGCAGTATTCATCATCGTCATATCTTTTGGATTCTAAATACTACTAGAGAAAATAAAGTAGTAAAGAGTCAACGGATACAAAGAGTTAATACATTTGACTTGAGATCAAGTAATTGTTAATACTGTAAATTATTAAATTACAGATTTTTTAAACAAATCTATTATTATTACCGTAATATTAAGATACAAAGAATGACTATAATAGAAATATTTTGGATGAATAAAATCAATATAAACAAGTTTTAAATACAACGAATATTTTTTTAGTTACCTGTAACGACGAATTTTTATTGGTTCACTTCTTAATATAATTGTAATATCGTATTTATTATAATATGTAGTTATACTTTCAGATATATTTAGTTGTAACAGATGGCCTGTTTGCTAATTATAAAAATGCGTGAACGAGAAAATATGACTGTAATGCGAGAAGTATAGCATATTGGCGTGCAGCGCTTTTCTTTTAAAAAAATAGGAAAATCGTACGAATTGAAAAACGTAGTCATTCACAGTCGCAAGAAAGCACTGAAAGAGAATGATTTAAAAGAGTCAATTGTGTTGTTTAAAAATAGTTGATTGTGTTGTTTAAAGAATATATTTGAATCGTTAATCTTGTATAATTATTTGTTGTTTTAGTATCATTATTGTTATTTAATAAATATCATTTACATTATATCTAGACATAATCAAACTTTTCAACTTTTTAATTTTTACGATGACTTGGCTTATTGTGTTTTCGCATACTCTGTATACAATTTTGTCATTCCCTTTTAATTCTTTTCAACTGTTCAATAATTAATATCGATAGACATTGATAAAAATTTAATATTTTTAACTTTCAAAACCTCCATAAGTAACTCATAGGAATAAAATCCGGACTGTATGGGTATGTATTACATCAAATTTTCGAGTTCTAAACTGGCTTTGTATAATTTCTACTGTAAGCTTGGGATTTCGATCGTATACAAACAGTGGTTTTCTCAAAAAACTATATACTTTTGACTCTGTATTAAATTAGTTTGTAAAATATCACGTATTGGTTCATTATAGCAATAGAGTGAACTAACATCGTTGTTCATATAATTAAATCAACGAATATTTCTTATTATAGGTAAATAAAAAAGAAACTGAAAAATTGTTTAAAATTAATGGTAGTTATGAAAACTATTTCCATAATGTGCAATACTCGTATATATTGTCAATAGCAATGAGGAATTATTTATATGAACTCGGTAATTATTGGTTCAGTTATATGTACCGTTCACAAGTTCTTGAGCTACCGATTGCGAATTGTAAATCAAAGCAAATCAATTCGAATTTTATTAGCATTCATAAAGTGATGGAAAATGCATTGAAGAAAAGTGAAGTTGATAAATTATTATATACTGAATATGCTACAGTAGAAGTATATGCAAATTATGCTTTGTCTATTTTTCATATGTTTTGTATCGACATTTATTATGGAAACTTCATTTATTTGACAAAGCTTCATCAATTACACTATATCATATTATTCGGTATATTATCTAATCGGAAGTTTTTTCGTCATCTCAACCGAATGTACTAAGTGAGTATTATTTCATTTATGCACTGCTATGAAAAACATATCATCAAAACAAAATTCTCGATGAATATGTATTTCTGTTTAAAAGTTTGGAACACTTCTTACTTTTGAATTGAATAAAATTTCTTTCTATGGTTTTCTGAAAAACAAGAATATTGTAATTATAACTTTAATCTCTAGCTATAAGTAATACACAGTGTAATATTAAATACAGTGTAAAAATTACACTGTTCACTATTCACTATTTTCTATGTATTTTCCTGATTGTTGGAATATATCGATGAATGATGTAAGTTGTGTGAGTGTGATTGTCTTTTGTCGTCAACTAAACAAATGAACTCTGGCTTCCAGTTTCGTAGTTGATTTCGAGGCGTCGTTCTGAACGTACCTATGTATGCATTTCCTATCAATTATACCATTGCATATTCTTATTCTATAAATACTCAAATAAACTCTGACAGGTTATGGCGCCCAGAACGGTTCCAGTCCGCGAAAATTGTTAATGCGCGAAAACTGTGAGTAAAAATTAATCACGTGTGACGAACTTGAACAAGAAAAAGAAATTATGGCGTCTATGCACAATTTTTCGAATATAGATAAACTAAATGAGAATAATTATGGTTTGTAGAAAGTGCATATGAAAAGTGTTCTCGTGTACAACGACTTATGGTCAGTCGTTGATGGAAGTGAAGTGAAAACGGAACAAAACGAAGTAGAATGGACAAGGAAAGCTGCAAACACACTTGCATTAATTAATATAAGTATAATACAAAGTCAACTCATATATGTAAA